ATTAAGTCCAAAGGTGTCCCTCTCTGCTGACTTCTGTGAGTAGAAGTCAGTCTTTAAAGCCTCTTCGGGGGGACCAATGGAAGATGGAACAGCAATGTCTTGAGAAGAAGCCTTTTCTCTTACCCCTTGCAGCAGAGACCAGTGTAGGAGCAGTTAGGAGAACCTGTCCTTTGTCTGTCTGTACTGCTAAAGGCATTTCTGGTCCCCTGACCTGGCTGTTTGCACTCCGCAGAGCTTGCAGTGTTCCCTGACGCAGCACAAGACTAGACGTCTTTGCCTCTCTTCTCCTTAGCTTTTCTCACTCAGAATCCACCATGTGTATGCTCACCTCCATGGAGGACGTGCCTGCAGGCGCCTGGAAGGAGCCACATCGCAGATGCACAGGCAGCCTTTGCCCAGCACTGCTGCGGTGATGTGTCACTCACACTGCTGTGTTTGCTGCTTCTGCTTGTCACATGGCCTTTTGGTGTCATCTTGTCTGTCAGTGTGCTGCGTTCTCTCAAATGGGACCAGGCAAAGGGCTGATCCCTGGGGACCATTAGATTAGATAATACATTTTCCAGATGTTTGGGCTTGGACAAGCAGGCCAGGCTTGGAAATATGGACTGTCAGTTCAGACTACATTACCCAGGGAGGTTGCCCTCGCTGTTGTTTACCAGTGCTGGAGAGGGGATGCTGGACCTGGTACCCACCATAGGTCCCAGTTGGGACAGAAACTTGTGAGACACAATAGGGGCTACAAAGCTTGCAAAACCAAGTTCAAGGCTTCTGGCAGGGAACTGGCAGGGGGAGAACACTGCCAAGGCTCTCTGGGGTTTTGCCATTCCCAACTCTCCCTGACTGGTGGGCACCAGTTCAGGCCAGAAACTCATCAGGCCATATCCTTGGCCTGCACTGGCCAAGCTTTGTGTGCCTGGGAGGCATCCCAGGAGGCTCCTGCCTCGTCACAGGCCACCGTTGTGCTGCTGTTCTTCAACCGTTTGGTTGAAAGCAGCTTTGCTTGGTGGTACAGGAATACCCAGGACACAGAGCAGGAAGATGGGCTCTGAGCTGGTCCAACCCCAGATTATTATTCCTGAGGCGGGATGTTGGGATTTGGGTTTTTTTCCTTAGCAGTGGCCTAGAATAACAAGAGGCCTGCCCAGTTGTTTGAGAGAGTTTTATTTTCGTAACTCAATGCAAGAGGTGTGGTGGTTCCTTTGGTATGTCTTTGGGGCACGGCACAAGGGTGTGTATGGTGAGATAGCACTGACGCATCGTGCAGGGCATAGCAAGCCAGGTTTGGCACAGCCATGTCCGTGATGCCTAACCTCTTTTGGAGTGACCTGCCTCCCAACTTGCCCCAAAGGTTGTACGTGGTTCATTAGGTCCAGATTAGAGCTTAGCAGCAAGTGAATTTATATGCCTGTGTGCAATCAAGAGAGCTTGGAAGCTGTGTAGATGTAGCCAGAGAATAATTATAACCGTTTCCTCTCTCTGGCACGTGTCCCTTCTGATGTGCCGTGTCTCTGCTGAGGGGAGAGGAGAGCCCTTTCCCCTGCACCTGGAGAATGCTGCTGAGTTGGCTTCTCAGCAGCGCAGCCTGGGACACATCCCTAATCCTACAGGGCCTTCTCTTTGTGGTGCCACAAGCTGGATGTGAGGCAAAGCTTCATTTCTACA